AGTTCGTACAGGGCGTGGGGAGAGGGATCATACAATGCTGGAGTGTAGGGAGGGATCACTGGGTGCTGGAGCGACGACAACCTTTGACAGGTGTGCATGCAGTGCATGCGGTGGCGCAAAGGGCCGCCTGGCACATACGCGCAAACTGCCATCACAACGCTTTAATCGGTAGATTGCTGGGCGTTCAAACACAAGCCGCCACACAAGCATATAAACATGCACACATGTATTTCTGCATGTGTACAAAATCACACACAAACACGTGCAAGCGCGCACGCGCCCGCGTCGCTCACAGGGGGTTGATGATGCCGACGTCGTTGGCGTGCTTGGTCTCAAAGTCTGTGAACACCAAGGACGCGCTCTGCCTCACGGGCGTCACAGCAGGCACGATGATCACCAGGAGCACCACACCCGCCAGATTCACCACCGCACCGATCTGCACGCAAGGGGGGGGGGCAAAGCGTCGCCAGGGGGGTTGAGGGTTGATGATGTGATTGAAGGTGGCATGGGTGGCGGCGTCTGGGCGAGGATCAGATTGTCGGCTCAGGGGCGGGTGCGGCGCCTGGGGGTTGCTGCGGGCGAGGTCGGATGCAGCGCGGCGCGCCCAGCGGCGCGAACGACGCTGCAGAGCACACGTGTGCGCGTGGACGCGCGTGTGCGCACGCGTTGTGCACGCGCCTGCGTGCAGAGTGTCAGGAACCGCAGCCCCGCGCCATTGATGAGGGCGTTGGCGACCATGAATGCCGCGAAGAGGCCAAAGTGGTGCTTCTCATTGAGCTCCAGGGGCTCCGCGCCGTTGAGGCCCGAAGCCATGGTGATCATGGTGGCCGTCAGCTCTGAGCACAGGGCCGCCACGGCGCTCACGGCCGCGATCTGGCCTGGAGGGGGGTGCGGGGGTGATGGGGGGGGGGGACGACGGGAGGGGGCCGTTGGGAGAGGGAGGCAGCAGGACGTGGGGAGTGGGGTTGGGCGCAGGCAGTGGAAGCTGGAGGGAGCGTGGAGGTTGCGTGCGGCGTCCCGCAGGTCCAGGGTGTCTGGTAGAGCAGTGGCGCGGAGCATGCGGGATGCGGGAATGCATGGTTGTGCTCTGTGTTGCTCTGTGTGTGTGTGTGTGTGTGTACGTGTGTGTGTGTACGTGTGTGTACGTGCATGTGTGCATGTGTGCATGTGTGCATGTGTGTGTGTGTGTGTGCGTGTATGTGCGTGCGTGTGTGCGTGTGCGCGCGTGCGTGTGTGTTGGTGTGTGTGTGTGGGGGGGAGGGGCGCGGGGCATGCACCACCGCTGCCGAGCCTGCACAGGGGCAGGGACCGCAGCGGGCGTCTCACCCAGCAGGTTGAGCCAGCCGGTGACCCAGCAGGCCCAGGGGCCAAACCTCTTGCCGGCCAGACGGAATTGCCTGCGGTCAAGGGGGTGGGACACGTGTTTTTGCGTGATTTGGGGGGATGTGACGTCATAATCGACGGTTGACAGCCACAAGCGCTGTTACAAACCGTATGCCACAATTCTTGCTCCGGCTGCTGCTGCTGCCGGTACTGCTGCTGCTGCCCCTGTCGCCTCCGCCGCCACTGCTGTGGCTGCCATCGCTGCGGTTGCTGCTGCAGCCTCAATCGCTGGCCACTGCTGCTCTGGCCGCCGCCGGCGCCGCTGCTGTCGGCGCCGACTGCAGCGGCGCCGATTGCAGCGGCGCCGACTGCAGCGGCGCCGTCGGCGCTGTTGGCAGCTCACCGGACACGACTGCCTCCGTATGGACACGCTGCACCCTGCGCCTACAACGTCCCCGTCCCCCCCCCCCATTTCTGTCTTGCACGCCCCCTCTCTTGTGCACACCCTCCAGGGTCCTCATGGCCCCTCCCCTCACCAGTAGTACATGCCTCCAGAGGTGGGGTAGGCAGACGCCAGCTCAGCCATGCCCAGGCCAATGCACAGGGTGGCTGCAGACACGGCTGCGTGCGCGAGGGCCGGGCAGACAGAGGGGTGTCAGCGCGGACGCAGCGCGCCCGGTGGGGGAGCGGAGCGGGCGCCAGCCGAATCAAGGTAGTGCGTGCGGTGCAGAGCGGCTGAGGCCGCGCGGGCCGGTGGCGCGAGTGACAGCGTGGCGGCGGGGAGCGCGGCGCTTTTAGGGTAGGGGGTTTGGGCGTGCTGCTCACCGACCCAGCCCCAGATGCAGACGGCGGGGCCGCCATAGGTGAGGCCGACGTAGAAGGACGCAGATATGGAGGTGAGGGTGCTCATGGCCGAGATTGTCAGGGCCACGGCGGTGAGGGTGCCCCTGGGGAGAGGTTTGTGGGGAGCCATGGCCAACGCGGGCAAGACCGGGGGAGCTGGATGGCAGGCGCTTGAGGTATCCATGGGCCCGAATGAGGGCCAGGCTAGGTGGACGTGGATCGAGCGCCGCACTCCTGGGGCGGCTACGGGGTATGGCGTGCAGTCGTTTGCCACTTCAATATGTCGGGTGCGGCTGGCGAACGCCTTGGAACGAAGCGTGCCCCGCCGCCAACGGGCTGGATGACGCAGTGCCAGCTGCCCCAGCAGCTGCCTACCACGTCCTGAAGAGGACCTGCTTGTAGCCCAGACGAGCCAGGACAGCCTCATCTTCGTGCTTGGCCAGAGCAACTTCGTCAGCGTGTTTCTGAGCATGCTCGTCCATCGTGTCGTGAGTGACCTCACTGAAGGCGGGAAGGGCGTGTAGAGGGTTGAGGGCAGAGCGCGGGGGCCGCTGGCCTAGACTTGCCGAGGTGCTGCGTGTCACTCCAGTGCCGAAAACGTGGCATGCAAACTTGGGAGACCTGAGCGAGAGGATAAAGTAACGGAGGATAAATATGTTCAGCATACATTTGAAGCGTGGACGGGCCCCACAGGGAGGGCTGGCAGCCTTCCTGACTTTTTCCAGCCTGCATGTGCGTTTCGAACCGCCTGGTGCCGCTCAGGCTGCTCCGCGCCTCGCACGGGCCAATGCACCGCCATATACGCACCTGAGGCGTTAGGCAAGCTTTGGACTGCAAAGGATGAGCGCCTGGATGCGGCAGGCGCCTGCGCGCCTCTACAATGCAGTGCTGAACACGGCGACTCATCGCATCGCCCATTCGATCGTCATCGCAACCCTGCCGCAGCGTACGCAGCCCCGACATATACACTACATGGTGAGCAGTCAAAGATCTAAGTGCTCAATTGCTGGCACCCCGTTCAAGCACAGCCTCTACGGTGGAGGGGGTGAGCGCATCCAGAGTGGCCTTGTGTGCTGCAGCGCTGGCGTTTGCTCGTGTTGTGTCATGTCGATCGTAGTGTCCCGACGTATTGGGCCCCTGAATCAGCCTGGTTCACTATCGTTCTCATTACCCATTCAACTAGCACAGCGCTTGGAGACGCGTGGGGAACGCGCCGCGCCGCGTGCATTTGGACCCCACCCTCCCCTTGCAGCGCCCGATAGTGAAGCGGGCCTTGCACCTGGATAGCGAAAGCTCCTAAGCACAGAACATGCCGGCGCGGCCTGGACGCAAGGACAGGTGGTGCACGCAGCGGGCACCCCACGTGCTGCTGCAGAAGCGTGGCGTATTCACAGCAAAGTTGTGGTGGGCGTGGCGCACGCACTCGCGGGCGGAGTCGACAGAGGAGGTGCTGCTTGCGGGTTGTCGACACTGCAAAAAAAACCCCGCTTCAACAGAAAGCAAGGATATTGGCGCAGAGGAACAAGCATGGGCTATCGCCACGCCCGCCTGGGTGCACGGTGCCCAGAGCAGGTGGGTCGCAGCGCCCCCACCACAGATTTGCGAGGGCACACAAAGCCCTCTGAGGATCATGAGGCCGGCAACTGCACGCAAAAAGTGATGAGGTTGCACAAAGACACCGCACACCAGTGGTTGGTGTGCGATGCCTTTAACCGCAAGTGCAGCGCGCCGCGGCGCCTCCAAGGCAGTCTAGAGTTGGGGCGTTTGAAGAACCCTTTGCGCCAAACACAGCAAATCGAAAAAGGGATGTATGTGCGGGCATGGCGCGCCTCGACACGAGCGGGTGAGCCGTTAGAGCCCAGAACCCCGACCCGCGGCCTGGCAGGCCTCAGCCTGCTGCGACGCGTGCGGGTGCATAGGGCGCGGCTCCTGCACTGTAGTACAGCAGGCGCTGCCGGCGCCGCGCCCTGGCCCAGCGCGCCTGAACACAGCCCACCGGCCCGGCCGGCCGGGCAGCCCGGCCGGTGGGCCGTCGCTGGCGCCAGGGGGCAGCCCTCACACCCAAAACCAAACGCTCTGCTGGCAAAGCCGGCGTCCTGCACGTTTTGGCCCCATCCCTCCCAATGAAACCCTCTACTGCAGGTCCCTATCGTGTCTGAAGTCTGAAGTACAGAGCACGCTACGCCGAGCCAACCACATGCGCCCGCTTGGCAGCGGGCTCGCCGCCCCCATTGCCCGGCCCCTCACCCTCCGCGGCGGCGCGCTTCCCCGCACCCGCGGGGTCGGCGCCCTCCCCCTGCTCCCCCACGGGCCGCGCCGTCAGCCGCGCCCAGCGCTCCCTGACCTGCAGCTGCCGCAGCAGCTCCGACCCCTCAGCAGGCAGCACTGTCGAGGGCGTCTTGGCGCTCTCGCGCATGCTCTTCCACGTGTCGAGCGCCTGCTGCGTCTGACGGAAGACCTCGGCGCGCGCGCGGCCGCGCTCAGAGGCCGCCGACGCGACGCCGGCCGGGGCGGCGCCGCCGCCGCTGCTGCCCTCGCCGGCGGGCAGCAGGCCGCTGGCCGCGAGCGCATCTATGTGCTCCTCCGCGGTGCGCACCAGGCGGCACATGACGCCGTGGCTGCAGGGGGAGCAATAGGGGGCGGCGCGTGAGACTCTGGCATTGACAGGGCTGGGCAGTGCAGCACAAGAGGACAGCTGCCGCCGTGGCTGCATGCACAGTGCTGCAGCGGCGTCGGAAGCCTGTCGCGTGTCTGATCACCCACGATGGCATGGAACAACCTACCTAACCCTCATGCGCCCCCCATGCCCCCCATGCGTCCCGGATGCGCCCCATGCGCCCCATTTGCCCCATGCGCCCCCCATGTACCCCATAGCCCCCATGCGCTGCACCTGTAGAAGGGCTGCTGCAGCACCGACTCCAGGTAGGGCGCCCTCATGAGGATGTCGGAGTGCTTGTCATGCTTCTTGATGATCTTTACCACGCCAGAGTAGTTGAGCATCGACCTGCAAGGCACGAGTGCGCGCGGCCAGGCATGTGAACGTGCAGCGGGCGAGCACCAAGCGTTCGCATTCGGCGGCTGAGACGTGACGCCGGCTCAGCTTTGAGTCGCTTGGGGCCTGCACTTTTCCGGTTCCGGTTTCCGTCCAGCAGTCCGAACCCCAACACGAGGCACGGCAGGCGTGGGGACGTAGCAGAGCGGGACACATGAATACTGCTGCTGCTGCTGCTGCTGCTGCTGCTGCCCCGGCCGCGGCCGCCCCTCTCACCAGTGCTGCAGCAGCACCATCTCCCCGTGAAGGTCCACCAGCTCAGCCCTCAGGCCCCGCGCCTCATGGGTTATCGACGGCGGGAGCGTGCCTGCTGGACGCTGCTGCTGCTGCTGCTGCTGCCGCCGCCGCTGCTGCGCATCTGCCTGCTCCTCTGCTTGCTCCTCTGCCTGCTGCTCTCCCTGCTGCTCTCCCTGCTCCTGCTGCTGCTGCTGCTGCTGACCTCTGGCCTTGGCTGCCAAGCCCTGCAGCCTCTTAATGCGGTCACTCAGGTCCTGGTGATGGTGCGTGAGCGTTTTGGAGCATGGAGAGACAGTGTGAGTTGGAGAGTGTTGGGGCACTGCGGCGTGCAGTCAGCCAACCTAGTGGTTCCCAGGGCGGTCCCCAGCGGCGGTCGCTCCCCGCGCACTGCACTTCACGATTTTGCCGCCCAGTCACAGGGCTTCACCACTCAATAGGCAGCTGTCGCGACGGCGACACCGTGCGCATTTCGCTGCGCCTCCGCTCTGTGCGTCGCCCCGGTGCCCACTCCCCCCCCTCCCCAAACCTGCAGCTTGATGACGCTGTCCTCCTCCCTCTCAACAAAAAAGTCGTTCAGGCGCGACAGGTCCTGAGGCAGAGGAGGCGCACGCGGCAGGGCGGTCGTGGCAGGAGATGACAACACAGGTGCGCAGCTCGCAGGTGCAGGTTCGACGTCGCGGGGATCATGGGGTGAGACTGCAGGACGCTGCGCCACTCGCCCCCCAATTGCAGGAGCGCAGGAGTGCGAAGGGCGGGAAACCCGCCTGCAGCCGCGCGCACCTCGTTGAGGGTCTGCACGAACAGCGCCTCGTCTGGCGACAGCTGCTCGGGCGCCGCCGCGGCCCCCTCTGCGCCCTCCCCCAGCCCCTGTCGCCGCCCGCCGTCGCCCCCGCGGTCGCCGCCGCGCGCCGCGGTGTCCGCCGCGCCCGCGGCCGCGTCTTGTGGCGCATGGTGGTGCTTGGCATGGGCCTTTATAAACTTTTTGAGGGCCTTGTAGCGCAGCACGGGGCGGTGGTCGGGGTCGTATGCATCGCCATCGCCCGCCTCCGCCTCGCCGCGCGTCGACGCCTCGCCGAACAGCTCCCCTGGCCGGACAAAGCGCGCGGGCGCGTTGCAGAGGGAGTTGCGGAGAACGGAGAAAAAGCAGGGGTCGAGCTTGTGTGTGTCGCTTGAGCATGGCACGCTCAGCGCCAGGGGCTATGTAGGCAAGGAACGCGTCGCAAGGCGTCGCTTGTGGTGCCAGTGGCGTCGGCGCGACTGAAGATTCAAAAGGTAATGTGTGGCGGCTGTGTGCGTGGCGTCGCGGCCGCGCCTCGTGGCAAGCATCGTGGCGGGGACCCCGGCCAAGAGATTCTGCTCAGCCGTGGCATATGCAGTCCCCAACGCCCGTGGGGCTGCTGTGCCGTTCCTTGCCCCCTCCGCCCGCCTCTCTGCCCTGTTGCATGCTGTCCAATGCACTCACCTAGGAGCTTTCCAAACTTCATCCGTCAGGCTGGGGCCGCGCCAGGTCGCAGATGCAGAAGGATGCTGGTGGTTTTAGGCAATGCGAAAGCGCGCACGCACACATACACACCCCAATGGCTGCCGATGCCGGCGACTCTCTATTCTTCGTGGCGCAGCGACGTGTTGATGTGAGGCGCTGCGATGAAGACAACGATGCAAGGACGTGCGATTCGCTGGCCCGCCGGCTGCAGCCTGCAGTCTTGTGCAGCCAAAGGTGCGGCGCGCGAACAGATGCCTGTTCGAGCCGAACCGCCGGAACAACCAAGCTCGTGAGAGGTTTGAACACCGTCAATCCTTGCTTGTATGAAGCCCGTTCAGCAGGTGCACGCCGAGAGGAATGAGGCTATTGCAAAGATGCCGCTCGCCGAGACCAGGATGCCTTTCTGGCGGATCGTGAGGCACTTGATGTAGAGGGGCGTAAATTTAATGTAGGTAGCCTTGAGAAGTCACTGGACGAAGTGCTGCAGTCTTTTTGCCTCGGGGTGGCTTTGCTACACGGGTGCCGCTGCGGGCAGCTGCGGTTGCACCAGCCCAGTCAGCCACCTCTGCCAGTATTGGCCTTTGCCTAGGATTGGCCCTGCGGCTGGAACGGCGCACGCTGAACCCATCATTTTGCCATACTACTTGTTCCCACGGAAGTGGCTCTACTCACCTGCAGACCGTCCGGCTGGAAATGTGGAACATGGATCTGCAGTAAAAAGGCATGGATCCGCAGTGCCGCAATACTACAGCGCGCAGCCCGGTGAGGCCCACCATTATCACTCACACGTCTCCTGGAGACGATACGGCAGCTGATGGTGGCGGCAGTGGGCCTAGCGCGCAGCTGCAACTCGCAGCTGGGCGGTATGGCAGCTGCGGCATTCATCAGTTGCAGTGTGGGCCGCCATACCGCCCAGCTGCAAGCATGACTACCATTGCGGCTGGCGTGGTCACCTCGATCCCTGTGCAATGACTGCACCAACATGAAACCGCCTGCTGGTTGCCCATGCTGTCGAAACATGAATCTGTTGGTTGCAGTTGCAGCCTGCGGTCAAAACGAGCCTTCTTATCATAGCCCTCGGTTGTAGATTTGCAACGTGCTGTAACTTGAGACATTTATATCATGCGGAAGTCAGGGTGTTTGCAATACTGCGTGGGTGGTCTCGCATCGCCCGGGACAGCACCAGGGGCACTACCTGGGCCCCACGCGCCCCTGAAGCCAGTGGCCAATTTAAACGGAGCGCGTCCACTCACAGGCAAACGTCCCCAAGAGCCGTGTGCGATTCAAACAAAGTATCCATTATCGATATTTGTGCGACCAACGTCAGATCCGCGCGGTCCTTTGGAGATCTGTTGCCCGCGCACTTGGCCCATCAGCCCAGCTCACAACATGGCGAACGCTGAGGGCTACTACGACGATGGGTTTGCATATGGCGACCAGTCCGGCGCCCACGGTGAGGCACGCTGTGCTCTCAGCTCAACATGCGATCGTCGCTCCTCAGCTGCGCACCCGTGCTGCGTGTGCTGCTGCGCTCTATGCAGTCCCTGGCGATCCCGCACGCAACAAACCCACCATCACAGACATCTCCTACACGGGCAGCAGTATGCCTTACGGCGGCGGCAAGCGCAAGGCCCAGGACGACGACAACGGCCTGCCCTATGCACCCGCCGCGAAGAAGGACACCGCACTGCAGGCCAGCAGCGCTGTCAACGTAGGCGGCGGCGGCGGATACACCGGCGCGGCCCGCGGATGGGGTGACGAGGTCAAGTCGCCTGCGGCGGCGCAGCAGGCCGGCGCAACGATGCCGGCGCCCCTCTGCCAGTGCGGGGAGCCGGCGCAGGGTGTAACCTCCAAGGTGCCCCAGCAGCTCACCATGAGCGCTCCAGCTGCTCTTTGCATTTGCATGACACAGCAACATCGTGCATAGCAGCATTATGGAGTGCAGTGGTCGGCCCTTGGTGATGCTGACGCAGCCGGCGGGGCTCTGCGTCTTGTACGCCTCGGCTCAAGAACGCTCGCCCCTGACGGCGTGCGCGCCGCTCGCCGCACCACACCGCCGGCGCAGACCCCCGCCAACCCTGGACGGTTCTTCTTCTCATGCGCGAAGCTGCGGGACGACACCAGCCGCTGCCGTTACTTCAAGTGGGCGCTGCTGGTCGTGACGGCTGGGCTTGCATGCGCTCGCGCTGCTGCGCACGCACGCGTTACGTGCAGCCATGCAGCGCCATGGCTGCAGGGGCGCATGGCTGCATACTGATTTACACGTGGAAGCGGGCTGAGGCTGTGAGCGCATGCACATGTGCCGTGTGCGACACACCCATGCTTGGCACAGCGCACGGCAACCGCCCAACTGTGCAACAAATATGCGCCGCCGCACCCCAGGTGGGCTGACGAGCTCAACGCCGCGCCAGGCGGCGCTGCAGCCCAGCGGACGGGGCCCCCGACTGGCACTTTCAACGCCCCCGCGACCAGCGGTGCCGCGGCGTCCGAGGGTGTGGCCCCGAGCGCGGGCGGCGCAGCGGGCCATGGGTTTGTGTGCCAATGCGGCATGGAGGCAGAGATGCGCACCAGCAACAGCGCTGCCAACCCCGGCCGCCAGTACTACAAGTGCTCAAAGCCCCAGCGGGTAGGCCGCTGATTACCGTATGTCATGGGGCCAGGGAGTGATCGGAGCGAGGCGGCCACTTGGTTCGATGGTTGCGGCGTTGCTGCACTTGAAATGGCATGTGCCGGTCTTCATGCGCCAAGTAACCTCTCTCGCACTCTACCCTTCTCTTTGCTTGGTGCAGGACCAGCAGTGCCGCTTCTTCCAGTGAGCAGGCGCAGCTGCCTGGGCAAAGCGCTTGGATTTGTGTCGTGCTGTGGCGTGCGTGGCTGTGCCTGCCAAAGTCTTGCAGCGTGTAGCTGCGCGCAGACTTGCATCAGCCCTGCCGCAAACTCACCCATCACGACCGCATCCCACCGCAGGTGGGCCGACGAACCGCCGCGCGCGGGCGGCGCCGGCGGCCCGGCAAAGACCTACAGTGGCGTTGGCGCGTATGGCGCCAGCGGTGGCGGCGCGGCCCCTGGCAACGGCGGGGGTGGTTCTGGCATGACAGGTGGGTGTGCACTCGGAGCCGTGCAGCCTCTTGCCTGACATTCTGTGAGCTGCACACAATGTCCCATGACTTCTGGCCATGCTGCGTACAGTAGCATCCATGCGCGTGCATTGACAGGTTCCCTCTCCTGTGTGTCGCACTGGCATCGCCAGGCTCGGCACGGTTTGGTTGGGAAGATATGCCCCCAGTGGGCGGTACTGCTGCTGGCGGAGGTGGCAGTGGCAAGGGGAGCTGCTTCAAGTGCGGCCAGGAGGGCCATTGGTCACGTGATTGCCCTCAGCAGGGCGGCCGCGGTGGTGGCGGTGGTGGCTACGGGGGAGGCGGCGGTGGCGGCTACAGCCGCGGCGGAGGGGGCTACGGTGGTGGCGGCGGTGGTTATGGTGGTGGTGGCGGCGGTGGTAGTGGTGGCGGCAAGGGGTCTTGCTTCAAGTGCGGCCAGGAGGGCCACTGGTCACGTGATTGCCCCCAGGGTGGCGGCGGAAGGGGTGGCTGGTGATGCGATGATCTAGCAGGAAGCTGTGGCGACTTTCCCTTGGCAAAAGCGGTCTTTCAGATTTCATCTCCTGTCTCCAGACAGCAGGTCACCGCCCAGGACCGCTCTCGTAGTCATGTACATGCTTCTAAATGACGCGTTTGTCGCACAAGCGTATGTGCCTTCATGCAACGCCACTCGCTCTGCTGTACTCCAAGCTGCTGAAGCCAAACCTCACCTTGACAGCAGTCGCTGCCTCATGTTGACCGCAGCACCAAGAGCAGCAACTATGTCAAATAAGTCCATTTCAGTCAAGTTACTCACGAGCAGATAGCAGTGGCGCAGGCATGGGGCCCGCACCGTCAGCTCTGAGCGACCTGCATCGAGTCGTATGTCGGCAGGGGCATACCCAGCCAAGTGCGCCCAACGGCAAATTTGGGCCGCCGCATGCCCCGTGCCCGCTCCGGGGCAAGCGTTGAAACCAGTCGGTGATCCGACTGAGCAGGCGGCCCAGTCCACAGCGTCATAAAGGAAGGGCAGTCAACTCAAAAACTTTTGCGGGCAGCATCGGCCCACACAATGCACAAGGGCAGCCGGCCTGCCCGCTGCAATACATCGGCATCGGCGGACGGCAGGCATCCAAGTGTAAGCTGCTCAAGCGCCAGCTGATGGCAGGCAGGTGTTCTAGCGCTGCCGCCTGCCATCACTGCGCTCGCACGACCCCTGCATCGCTGGCCCCACCGCCGTGCCGCCGCCACCACAGCTGCCATGCATGCCGTGCTGCTCGCCGCCGCCACACGCAGCCGCCCGCCGCGGCGACCAGATCCCGCCGCTGCCGTTTGCGAGCGCCCCTGTCCTCAGGCCTTCTTGGCGGCCGCGGCGTTGGTGGCCGCCCTGCGCTTCTTCTGCACGTCGTAGTGTGTGCCCCTGACCCAGTCGTCCTCGTCGAGAGTGATGGGGCCGTCCACCTTCTTGGCCTTCTTGGCCCGGCCCTTAGACAGGCCCAGCTTCTCGGACAGCAGCCCGTAGCCAAAGTAGCCTGGGAGCCAGGGGCCGGTCAGTGCGGGGTCGTCGGGGACCGATCAGTGGGCTGGTTGGTCTCAGGCAGAGTGTGTGTGTGAGTGTGGCTGGATGGCGCTGTTGAGCACCAGTTGCTGACAAACACAAGTGGACACCCAGTTGACTGCAGGCGACCCCGACACCCTCTCCACCAAGACGCAGCCGGCACCCTTCGCTCCCTCGCCTTGCAGCCCACAGCATCAGCACGGGACCCACCGGCGGCGCCGACGATGGCGAGCAGGGTGCCGATGAGCCAGAGCAGGTCAAAGTCCACCGCCTTGGGTGCCTCCGTGATGTCGACAGTCTGGTTGAAGAATGTGCTGCTGAAGTATGACCCCTCAACCTGGGACAAGGTGTGGGTGTGTGTGTGTGTGTGTGTGTGTGTGTGAGGATGTGTGTGTGTGTGTGTGCGCGCCCGCGCAACGAGGGCGACCACAAGACAGCGTGCTTCGTCCGTGTTGCACAGGACTTAGATCAGAAACCACCATCACGCAACTCGCTGCCCGCCAAGGGGTTGAGGCCTCCAGTTTCCTTCGCACATGCAGCGCCGCATGTGAGCTGTTCACATGCCAACCGTCCCTTAGCGCATCCCGCTTTGCCACACCAAGCGACGCCTCGCCCTCCATCTGCCGCTGTGGGCCCCAAGGTAGCGCCGCCCCCTTGTCCAGGCGACAGGACGCCCTCAGTCCTCACCTCGTATAAGAGGTGCAGTGCCACGATGAACTCCCGCGCGGGCGTGCCCCCCAGGATGGGGTCGGCCCTGAACTTGTACTCCAGGGAGGCCTCAGCGCCGGGAGCCAGGGGGGAGAAGTAGCGCTGCGCGCAGGAGAACACCGGGCGGGGAGGGGGGGGGAGGGTGGGGGCGAGCTCAGGCAGGCATGCTGCGACTTGCGGGCATGTGACCGTTCTCTTGGCAAGCGCTTATGTGCTTTCCGTTTGACAGAGTCTGCATTGCGTGCTGAGATAAACGCATCACAAGATATGTGCAGCTTCTACACTGCCCATTGCATTTTTTGCTGCAATGGGCTACAAGGGGCTGCCCAAATACAAATGTACGAGGACGTTTCAAGCTCTCTTTAGCATGGCCTCTTGAAGCTGTGGGTCCCTCGCCGGCTTGTGCTCCCCGCACCCCAACGGTGAAGTTCTGGATGAACATCTCGTACTTCTCGGCAGAATTAATGCTGCCCACGACTGCGGACAGGTTCATTGGCTTGCTGCCTGTGTTGTGCGCGCTGACCACGACGCTGATCTGTAGATCACATGGAGCAGGCGGGGCGGCGGGAGGTTGGCGCAGCAAGCAAGGGGCACAGGCAGGGGTGCTGGAAGCTTAAGGTAATGTCTTTGCATTGCATCTTGCAGCCCCACTTAGCATTGCCATAATCGGCAAGAATCTGGGTTTGCAAAAACTGCAGGTACCACCTGGGAGCAGCATCAAGCAGCTGAGCAGCAGCCGACTCATTGCCGCGCCACCATGCAAGGACTCACGATATCACCCGCAGGAATCTGCTTGTTTGGGTGCTCCGGGAAGTAGTGGTGCACGGTCAAGTCGCCGCCGGCGGGTGGCAGGTTGCCCAGCAGGTCGCCGGCCCGCTGGCCCAGGCATCCTGTGCGAGCCGTTGACGATCATAATCATGAGTATTCATCAATACTGTCTGTGTGCGCGCCCAGGTGCATCCTACCCAGAGACGGTGGGCCGCTGCAAGTAAGTGCCGATCGACCCACCTGGCAGCACGACCAGGGCCACTGCAGCCACCAGGAGAGACATTTGTCCCCGGCTCATCGTGATCCTGCAGCTATGCCAAGCTCCACCGAGGCAGGAGTGTCAACGACCCCCTCAACGAATCCACTCGTGTAGGTTTAATACGCTGTTCAAATGCACAAAGACACCTCCGTTGTTATCAGTCACTTGCCCTTTAATCAAGGCGTGTGGCGCCAACCATTGGTCAGCAAGCCTGGGCAAGGAGCAGCTGGGTGGAAGCTCCGCCTTTGAGCGTGACATCTCAAACACGCAGTCACGACACAACGAGGAAATGAGCAAGCATCTTCGTCGCTTCATGCTTCTGTATGGCGCCTCTCAACGCTTGCCAACCAGATCACGAAAAATTTGTATTTGGCCGCCGCTGAGCAGCCCCTTACTGACGGGCCGGGGATATTCAAGAGCCTTGCTGTTGTCTATATAGCCGTATAAGCCAGGCATCTCTGATCAAGGCTCACCTGCAGCCAAAATCTCATAGGAGCAGCAGCTCGAGCTGGTGACAGGGGAGGACTGCCGCGCGCCGGGAGGATGGCACCGGCGGCGGCGGCGATGGAGGAGTACCTGTCGGCGTGCGTGCAGCGCAGCCTGTCGCTCTTCATGTACGAGGATGCGCGCTTCTTGGCGGAGCGGCTGGTTGCCGCAAGCGGCTCTGAGGTGCGTGCGCTCGCAGGCGGGGGGGAGCACTGACATCAACGCAAGCACGCACCTTTGCATGGCATGAGCGCGCGGACATGCACACACACTTGCCTGTTGCATGCCATCCGGGGCCAAAGCTCAAACATTGCGTTCGTACGAGGGGGCTGGTACGAGGGAGCTGCCGAGTGCAGATGCGGCTGCAGTTGCTTTGTGAGGGCTGAGCGCCGGTAGCCAGAAGGGGTGCAGCCCTGCTAGCGTGCCGCCGTCCGTGGGTACAAAGCCACGATGCACATGCCGCGCCTCCCATTCCACATTGCATGAGCAGCACAACAAGTACCTGCTGGCGGTGTGCCATTGGCACTGCAACCAGCCGTACCGCGCGTGCCACCTGCTCAGCGGTGAGCCGCCGCGCCCCCTGCCCTGCAGTCGTCGTCGCAACCGGCCTGCGCGGTACTGACCCCGAGCGGCTGAGAATCCTGCAAGCCCGGCATGGCGTGCTGCAGCTGGTCAGGCTGCCGCCTCGCCGCTAGAACCCCGCTGCCCCTGGCTGCGCACACCGCACACTGCGCGCCGCGCGCCGCGCGCCGCCCATCCATCAACAGGCTGCAGCTCCCCTCCCAGCCGCTACCTGTCTGCCCTCTGCTGGGTGGCCCTGAGGAACTACCAGGCCGCAGAGGCCGCGCTTACCCGCCACGGCGAGGGCCAGGTGGGGGACCCTCCGGGGGGGGGGGCGCGGGCGCCCCGCAGGCCGCCGGTAGGGACAGCCGCATCCCGTGATTTACAGCAGCATGGTCCCCCCTGCGGCTGCCGCCCCCTGTATATGTTCGGCCCTGCATTTGCCGCGCATGATTGAGGCAGTTCCTTCAAGCAGAGGTGAAGCGGAGACGACAACGGCCCGCGGTCCCTCCCATCGCCCGCACCCCAGGTCCCCAACGGCGCCGCTGGGCTGTGCCTGCTGGGGCGCATCTGCCGCGCGACCTGCCGCGACGCGGCCGCGGCGTCCTGGTTTGCCAGGGCCCTGGCGCTGGACCCCCTCTGCTGGTCGGCGCACGAACAGCTGTGTGCCCTGGGTGCGTCTGGGGTGGCGGAGGGTTGGGTGTGCGGGGGATGGGGGTGGGGTGGCTGTGGGCCAGAAGAAGATGCTGTGCAGGGTGGGGCGTGCTGTGGTGGCGGCATCCAGGCGTCGTAGGGGACGAGACCTGTGGAGGGGCTCCCCTGCGTGCAACGCTTGGAAGGCATGTGAGGGAGGGCTGCGCTTGCTGTCAAACAGCAGCCAGAGCCTGCGAACAGGCGCGCGATGTCCCACACACACAGACACACACTGCCTCTCCCTCTCTGCGTCCGCCCTCCGCACACACTCACACGCATACACACACACTCACACACAATCACACACACACATACACACACACACACACACACCTGCTCCTGCGCTCCCGCCGCAGGCGAAGGCGAGCAGGCAGCCCGTGCGGTTGAGCAGGGGGAGGCGACCTTGCGACAGCACATGCAGCTAAGGGCCGCAATGGAGGCGCACCAACGGCAGCAGCAGCAGCAGCAGCAGCAGCAGCGGCAGCAGGAACAGGAGCGAGCAGCTGCTGTTACACCTCCACAGCAGCAGCAGCAGCAGCAGCAGCAGCACGTTGAGGAAACGCAGCAGGAGCAGCAGGATCCAGCGCGCGAAAAGCAGCAACAGCAGGGACAGGAGCAGCCGGACCAGCAGACGCCCGCCATGCGGCGGCTGCGCTCTGTGAGGACGCAGCCGCAGCAGGGTGTGCAGCGGGTCCAGCAGGCCGGCCAACAGCAGCAGCAGCAGCAGCAGCAGCAGCAGCAGCAGCAGCAGCAGCAGCAGCAGCAGCAGCAGCAACAGCAGACCCCTGGAGTGTCGAACATCTTCTCGGCAATGTCCATCGACACGCCGCCCGGCCTAGGGGGCGTCCCCTCATCGGCGGGCAGCTCTGGCGGTGGCGCGGGCGGGGTCTTCGGCTTCTTCGGCGACACAACAGGCGGCCCTGGCGGCGGCGGCGGCGGCTTTGTCTTTGGGGCGGGCGGCGGCGCCGGCGGCGCCGGCGGCATGACGCCGCACATGCTGTCGTTCGTGACGCCGTCGCCGGGGGGTGGCGGCGAGGGGCCGGCCGCGCCGCCTGGTGAGGCAGCGCTCGGGGGCAGCGAGGGTGCATGCCTGCCGGGCCCTTTCCTCGGCAACACTGCCCACAAAGTAGCCCTCTCACCTGGCTCGTCGTGCTTGCGCCTGGCTCGTTGTGCTTGCGCACTCCCACACAGCCTCCACACCACAGCGCACAGACGGATACAGCCGCTCAGCGGCCCTTGCCCACCCACCCTGGTGTCCCGACCTCTGCAACCCACCCACCCACCGACCCACCCACCCCCAATATAACCAGGTGCCGGCGGCTTCCCCGGCTTCCAGCCCCCTGGCAGCCTGCTCCCCGCGTCCGCGGCGGAGCGCACGCCCGTCATGCCGCGCGCGCGCGGGGGTGGGCGCAGGGGCGGGCGTGCGGCGGGG